GCTCGCTCTCTGATACCCATCTCGGTGCTCATGTGTGGCACAGAGGAGTCAAAAAGGACAGGCAGCCATTAATCCTGTGTCCTGCAGCTTTCATTCTCTTCTGCCAGTTGAATGCAAGATGTTGTCCTAAACGTATTAGGACGCATTAGTAAAACTAACACAGAACTTCGAAAAAAAAGAACATCGTACAACTGGTGTGATGTCTGGGTTGACTTCACTGCTTCAAGACTAATTGATTGTTTCCTCTCAACCAGAGACAGAAGACATCCCTCCGTCAGTTCACGCCCTGAACTGTGAGTGCACTTGGTTCATGAAGCAAGTCAATGATCCAAAGCAAGTCCATTGCTGAATGATTAAATGGTTGGGGTGCCCTTAAATCCAACAGAGAGGCCATGTCTCCAAAAATGAACAACATTGTTCCTGAGTCCATATGCAAGCTGTAATTTCTGTGTTTTATCTTGCTCTGAATGGCCTTTAAATCCATGCTGTTACATGGCTCTTCAGGTCTTAATAAGGTCTTCTGCTTTTGTTCGATGGTTGATCAGAGAATCATCCTTTCTCCATTTAGGTTCTTTATGCATGAGGTTGAAGAAGAGTTAGTGAGTTGAATTCATGAATTCCATTTATTAGGACTAAAATACAGCGCTGGTCCATTTGTTCATGCTATGTTTCTAGTTCTCTTTGTTGGCCTAAAGAGGGCGTTCCCTAATGTGTCACTTCCTTTAACCTTAGCTTTGCAAGCGTGTGCTCTCTGTGTGCGCTGTATGTCTATATAAGCATGGCCAAAAGAGATGGAGGAAAACACAGCATTATTTATTCTCAGGTCCACATTCCCCTCTGGTTTAAGCCAGTACTTGGTTAAAGGGGATATAAAAAAAATCGATTTTTAAGCTACTGCTCAGGGCAACGCTGGTAAAAAATGTTGTTAAAGGGTTAATGGAGGAGTGATGTTGTGAAGAGTATCAAAAAGACCAAGCGTTTCTTAAAGACACATGGAATAAATTATGAAGTCAAATTTCTTTGAAGTCATATTTGATACATTTAGGATTTTTATAACAACTGATGGTAACACACCTACTTAATCATGCTATAAAATGGAACAATGTGACTGGAAAACCCCATAATACTGCCTCTCTAAAGAAAGTAGTAGAAAAAATAGTTAAAAAAATATATAGAAATATAAATTGCCTCGGTAATCCTAAACTGACCTAAAACCGGAAGGTCAGTCAAAAGTAAATATCTGGTTTCAACTGAATGTGTTTTACAGTAATAGTTTATTAAAATGATCATTTCTGGGATTGTTTTTTTAAATTATTTTTTATTTTATTTTATGTTTTTTTGCATAATTTACCACCTTTAATTCCAACAATGCTGTCGGGAACCTCTTTTAATACGACCCTTAAACCTACACAATGTGGCATTTTAGGTAATTTGTACTGCAAACAACCATTGGAGTAGAGTTCTCTGAATAGGTTTATTCACAGAAATAACCAGAGGCAGGTACGGTGCTGACTTACAGCCTTTTATTCTCTAGACACTTGAGTCTCCTGATTTTTTAATGCTGACCTATCCTGTGAATTACCCTGACTATTTTCACTGTTGCTCTGTGTGGGACGTGGCCCTCAAAGGAGAAAGTGGCATCTCCTTACTTAATTTTCAGCCAAGTACCTTTTGTAGTTATGTAATACCAGCAATGTTTTTTTTTTTTTTTGCTACCAAACTGTTTCAAACAAATGTGCTAGATTGAGTTTGTGAGTCTTTTTTTTTTTTTTTTTAATTTACGAATCCCGAATTCATAAAATTCGGGACATAATATGGGAATAATGGAATAAGTTCCCAATTATTTGCGTGTATCTCGCTCTTTTGAAGCCCATCATACCTTTCCCCACCTGGGGGACATGGAACACTAGCTTTCTTCATGACCCACTTCAAATAATTGTGCAAGACAAAAGTGTCCGGATCTCTCACCGTCCTCGTTTGTGTCAATCTCAAATTATAAAAAAAAGGGGTCAAAATATGTCTTATGGCACAACTTGGTGAAAACTTCACACTGTGAGATTACAGTACAGGTGATCGATGAATATGCTGCCACTCACAATGATCTGCAGCACTGAGATTCTTCTAAAACAGACACCAGAACCCAAGTACAATAGGTTGACTTCACCAAAATACCAGCTTGGTAAAACTGACGCCTTCAGAAACGGTGGAAATCCCAACGGGGACTAACCGGTTTGATTACATCGTGGGTTCATTCTCCAGAAATTCAACAGGGGAAGAGAGGACAGAAGTCTTTTTCTTTCACGTCTTTTATTTGGCACAGGCGCTTTGTTTCCCTTTTTCTCTGTACGAGACGAGAGCAAACACCCGAGTCCACGGTAGGGTGTGCAGTCATCTCACAGACAAAGAGACATTTCCAGTTAAAGGCGTGGATTAATACTTCCTACTATCAGTTTTGTTCATTGGTGGGAATGTATGCAGTGTGACCGGAGTTGAAAATAAACACACATGCTGGAAAAAAGGATGTCTTCCATTTCCTGTGATTTTGTGCCGTCGAGTGGAAATTTTGTTTTCCTAATATTGCTACAAAAATAACAACCACAGACATCCTAATTTTATTGCAATGTGGTTGAAATAAAAGTAATCCTCCTCTTTCTTTGTTCTGTACATTTATCATCAATCTGAAGGCAATAACTAATCTCTTCTTGCAACTTTTCTTTTTCCTCCCAATTGAGCTCAGGTAGCTGTTTTCTCCTGTTACTCTTTTTGATATGCTCAATAATGGAATAATTACATGGGAAGCACTGATACTTATTAAACGTGTACAGTATATTATAACATTTTTACCAGTCTCAAATCCATCACACTTCATGAAATGAATGAGAAATACATCATGGAAATAAATGTATTCTCAGAATAATTTAATTGTAAATTGAATAATTGTATTGGATATATGCTCTAAAAATACCAACAGTTAAATAGTGAGTAAACTGACACATTCTAATTATTAGTTATGAAATGAGACTAACACAAAGTGTTTAGACTGTTTTTAGATAGTTTTTTTTTTTTTTTTCAAATAAAAATCTGAAAAGGTGTTGTTTGGATTTTGTATTCATTACATGTGAATCAATACTTTGCAAAGCTACATTTACAAGTCTGTTTGTGGTGTGCCGCTACCGGATAAGGCATAAAAACAAAGTTGTTGCATCAAAGCTCAAACTCGGTCAGTGGGCCGACGGAAAGCTTCTCTGAACTCCCATGTTTAAATCTTTCTCCAGATGCTCTGTTGCTGTATGACTGGACTTTCTGCCAAATAAGCTCTGATTTATTGCAGCTCTGTCTTTATGTTTAGTAACTTTTCAAGTCTATAACAAGTTTTCTTTCAGGATGTACACTAACTGTAGCAGCAAGTTAACAAGCATGAAACTGTGCATTAATAGATGCGAAACAAGCACATTAAGGCAAACATCTTCTGATTAAATTGCTGTTTTTTTTTTAATTGTTAATGGATCTGATGTTTTCTCTGGTGAGACGCAGTTATTAATAGGTAAACAGACTATGAATCATCTCACCTAAAAAGTTATTTGATAATGCTGCCATAAATCAAATGTATGTTCCCCGTATTTTTTTATTATTAATAAATAATGATGATAAAGAAGCTATAACACAATATGTGTAAACAGTAAGGACATTTTCGCCATGGCTCAGGAAGGATTGGTCTTTGGCAACAAATGATGAGTTTGCTGCATGAGTCAGATGGGTGTCGGCAGTTTTCATCACACATTTGAAAGTAAAGTACTAAAAACTTTTTTTGAAGCATTTCTTTGCTTTTTTTTAATTGCTTTCCATACTAAACACATCTGTGTGTCGAGTCTTTAAAATATTTCCAGTGTTCTGTTGTAACTTCTCAGAATATTTCTGGCAAGTTAACTACTACTCAAAACCGCATTGTAGTTGGTGTTTCTGCAGTACCGTTCATACACCACATTTCGTCATGGAGCTAAATGTGTTTGGGAAAACACACACTGGAGGAGCTGCAGAGCAGAAACTGTCATCCAATCTAAAATTATAGTTTTTATGGAAGCTATAAAAAACAAAAAAAAATTGTCAAACGAAAGCTAATGATAAGTGCTGCGTAAAGTTAGCTAAAAAAAAATACTTTGGAAGATGGTGCTTCTGGTCAAATGAGACCAAAACTGAACATTTCAACCTATGTAAAAAAAAAAAAAAAAAGCAGAAAACTAATTCCAACAACAAAACAAAAATCAATCATCAATCAATCAATCAATCAATCAATCAATCAATCAATCAATCAATCAATCAATAAAAAATGGTGGATTAGTTTCTTCAGCTAATAAAGCTAGTCGGAGTCGATGGAAAAATATTTAGCTGTACAGCTAAATGCAGATCAATTCTGGAGGAAAATTTGTTAAAGTTAAAAACATCTCAAAAGACTTGCAGCTGTAGTTGCAGCAAAAGGTGGCATTTAAATGGAAAAGCTGAATACACATGCGCAGCATGCTGTTCATATTTTTAATTGTAAAAAAGAAATACAGTTATTCACTACTTTGTGTTGGTCTATACATAAATTCTCACTTGCATACATTGAAGTGTGTAGCAGAAGAAAAAAGAAAATATTTTCTACATGTCAGCCATCAGATTGAGTTTGGCTCAGAATCTTCCAGTTTGCATCAGCTCTCTGCAATGTGGGAGAGTCCAGTGCACAAACACGAATACACAGAGCCTGAGCCACAGCCTTGCCTCTCTGTCGGCGACTGTGTGCAGGGATGAGCTGGACCGCACCTCCTGAGAGCTCCACCTGAAACTGGAGATGCTGGGATACCAGTAAAGGGTTAGCTTACATTGTCTTTGTGTCTTTCACGCTCCTCCTGCTTCTTTTAAGCTTAGACGGGTACAGGGCGTTAGGATATTAACATACAATGCTGTGGTATTTATTGTTTTACGTAATCCCTGTCACTGAAGCCAGGTACTTATAGTCATGCAGTCCTAAGGAGATGAAAGACCTAAAACACGTAGTGCTGGATACTGGAGTTCTCTCTTGTGTTTGTAGTTTTTAATATTTTCTGTGGGATTTGTGGATTTAAAAAAACTTCCTGCTGGTTCAGCCCTTTTGATTTTGTTGAGGAGAGGAAACCTATTTTAATCTTCTTTATTTTTCTATTTATTATTTCGGGTCAAGATTAATACTTTTACAACAGGTATGTATCGTTTTTGTAACTTGAATGTAATACAATGAAATTTTGCTCATGAGTCATATTTCTGGAACTGCATTTTCTACACTAAATTTATTTGTCATAAAGTGAAAAGGCCGACCTGGAGTGACACAGTCTAACATGCTCTTTAAACAGCTGTTCAAATTCTGATTTCTTTTTATTTATTTACTTCTTTTTTGACAAAAAGAAGAGATTATGAAGGATGTCAGAAACCCAGTTGCTTGATGCGCTGCCAAAGGCACTGATTTTCTGCTCCCAAAAAAAAGAGGAGATTCTTCCCGTTAACGGTGGCTGGCGTTGCTGTTCGTCGGTCTATCTCAGACATTAGGGGGTATTTTTGTGGGGCCGAGATCTTTCAGCTATTTCTCAGTGCAGGGAAGTGAGAAGGGAGGGGAAGCAGAGCCGACACAAAAGGCAACATTATTCCCCAGCGGATCTGCGCTACATCCCACCATGAATGGAGTATTGAAAAACATAACATTGGGGACAAGATTGTTTTTCATCCCTCATAACTGAACCATTTGTCCCAGAGTTTCGAGTGGTGCGCTCGTACAGTTTCCAAGGGAGGCAGCCTCGGTTCTCGAGCGCCGGGTTGGTGTTAAAATCCCCCACCTCCCGATTGGACGTTCGACGCCTTTGACTGTGTTGCCTTTGGGCTTCTGTACCTCATGTTTTGAGACAGTTACACACTGGATGAACCTGGGTGAAAGCTGTTTGCAGTCCTTTTGCACCAGCTCCTTTCTACAGACGCTGCTTCCACAGGCTGAAGATAAGCAAAAAGTGCAGTGGCAGAATATTTTAACATCCTCCTCGCTTCTTCCTGCTTTCCGAGACGAGAGGCGCCCCCGCGGTGTCATCGCGGGCCTAAGCGTTTCGGAGGATTCTAGTGACAGATTGCAGGAAGCAGCGTTTATGCCTGACGATGGGGGACCACAGAAAGCAGAAATGTCTTTGTGTGCTACCTAGGCCCGGAATGTCCACTATCTCAAGGGGCCAATATCAAATTCTCCCTTCATCATCCCCTAATACGCATTCCTGGGTAAGGTCAGGGGGAATTCTGCACGAGCAGAGAAACAAACAAGCCAGGGCAGGGCGCTGAGTTTTTGTGAATTACAGCGTGTCTCTTGCGGCTGTTCTCAAAGGTCGCTCGGATGTTTGGGTTTTAAAGTGTCCGCAGGTGTTAGCTTTGGCACAAACACTGGATGTACATCAGACGGCAATAACTGATGGTTCAAACCCAATCAATAAAGTGTGTTGCACTCCACAGTAGATCAGTTGAAAGTGTGTGTCAGATATATAATTTTTTCCCCCCGTTGGATTATCAGACCGCTGCACCCAACTTTAGAGCATCCTCTTGACGTTCTGAGGAAGTCGCTGATGTTACTATCTGACTGATTACTGAGTGATCCCTATGAATCCTGACATTCCCTTTCCGAAGGAAAATCCCCTGGAAAACACGGACAAAGGTATCGGCCTCTGATTGTAACACAAGCCTTCTCCAGCTGCTGGTGTTGCTCAAAACCCCAAACCTCTTCCCCTCCACCCCCCCGACCCCATCGGTCAGTGCAACTCTCCCTCCAAATCTGGGTTTGAGGGTGGCCATTTTGTGCACGTTAGTCCTGATTGGATCAGAAGCTGGTGGCTGTAGAGATGCACTCAGAGATCTTTTAATGTTCATAAAGTGATCTCTGGAAATGGCGTCTCTTCGAGCGGACTGAAACGACCATCCAAACCCCGCTACATCACAGTGACAACAGCCGCAGGCCGTGCCAGATAAAACAATCCAATACTATAATCAGACCACTCCAAACCAGGACAATGAATACTGATTGTTTTTCAGTTGTAGAAAAGTGTCTGCCACGCTGGAGGCTGTTGCGAGTCTGGAACGCATGCAGCTCTGGACTCTGGGTGCCCCTGATGAGAGTAAACTGAGAGTCTGTAACTGTGTGTGTTGCAGCCAGATGGTGAGTCAGACAGCCATGCGAGGCCAGCGTGGGGCGGAGAGCGAGTGCAGGTGCTGGAACCCGGCCGTTTGGCTCCTGGTGTCCCTGCTGGCTTCCTTTGTGTTGGTGCCGCTCGGCTTGCTGAGACTAGGTAGGTCTGGTGGGGGGCCTGGGGTACTCAGGGTTTATCTAAAAACAACTGGCAGACCTAAAGCTACTTAAATATGTACCAACATGATATGTAATAGAGGTAGCAATATGGTAAAGTATAGTACAACTTGAACATTTGTATTTTGATTTAAACATCACAGGTGTCTTATGAAATCTTTAAAATGGAAAAGACGTTTTCAGAGAACATTCTTTTTTAAATGATTCACTGTGGTGAAGATTTAAAGAGTCAACACACACAAAAAAAGCAAATCTCTCCTTTTTTCATGTGTTGTTTGCCTGCAGTGCTGTGAAAAATATTCCCCCCCATTACCGATTTCATCTGTTTTTGCCGTTTTATCACATTTAATTGTTCACATGATCAATAATGAGTTAATTTAATAAAAGATTAAAGCTATCCAGAACAAGCGGAAGTTTTATTAAAACTGAATTTCACCAGTCAGACTATCCGCTGAGATCAACAACCCTGTGTGCTTTCACAGAATGCAGTCGAGTTTCCAGAACCAAATGGGCGTGGCTTACAGCTCACTGAATTCACTTGAGCGATGCCGAGACATGCGGGGGGTTTCCCCAAAGTGAAATCCCCAAAGAGGCTGGGTTCTATGTTTCAATGCTCTTCCATTGTTTTAAATCCTGCTAATGCTTTGCATATAGGTGCAGTTCTCACATACACCATCCTTTACATGCAATTACACATCAGATTCTGCAGAACAACATATCTCTAAGTTCGTCACTGGAAAATTGTACGGTGCCTTGCTTTGTGCACAATGTGGACTTATGTTGTTTCTGCAGGTGTCTTCACTCTGTACAATATCCCTATGTCACCTTTGCTCTGCAATTCCAATGTATACTGGCAACCACGTGAGACTACCAAGTCGCATCAGGGTCGTAGTGTTGGTGTCGGGACCTTAGCTTGATGGCAAACTAATGAATATGCGTAGATCACAAACCAAACGGAGGATAGGGCTACGGTCATTAAAGTTAATCTGTTTGCAAAGACTTTCAAAAATCTTTTATTTGATAGCCTTAGTGAGAGACAATATTCACAAATGGTGAAATCAAGGAAAAGTTGTTAAGTCTCTTAGGAGAGGTCTGCCTAACAAAATTACTCTAAAAGGTCACTGATGACTCTCCACAACTCAATACAACAGTCAATGTTAAATCAGAAACTTAACAGTAAGAAAAGAAACTTGGCAAAACTAGCGTCCAGTTTTGTCAGTCCACTTTAAAATTGATCAAAAACCTCAACAAAACTAAATGGATGTTTTCAAGCAGCCTTGTCAAAGTCTGGCTTTAGTCCGACAGAGATGCTGTCGTGACGTTAAACAGTCTATTCATCTCCGGAGCCCTGCGATGTGGCCGGCTAAAACGGTTCTTTAAAGAAGAGTTGTTAGTCTGTTAGTCCAAGGGTGGCACAGATAGCTATGAAGGGCTGATTGCTTTTCACGAAACTGCCAGACGTGTGTGGGAAGATTATCCTTGGTGGTCGATGTCTGATATTAAAATCTGACTATATGAAATGTGTGTGATTTAAAAAAAAAAGAAAAAGCACAAACAGAAGCAATTTTAACATTTCCCCAACACCATATGTATGTGTATTAACATTTGATTGTGATAACCAATTCCATTAAATTTGATCTGTTGGCAAGAAAATCAGCTTCTCTGAATTCATGTTAACTACTCATGCAATACTTTTAACTACCTGTAGTGGGAGCAGTTTACCACTTATCCTTCCTGGGTCTTGGAGGATGTTTCTACAGGAAATAACTGGACGGATATTTAAGATTTCTTTTAAAGTGAGACTCATGTCTCTGTTAGTGATGGTTGCCTTGACGACGCACGCGTCTTGGTACAGAGTCCTAAATGAATATTGTTTTACACTATATACTATATTCATCAAAACAGACCATAATTCACTTGAGCCTAAGCATAATAAGTATATCAACAATCACAATAAAGATGAATTAAATCTAAAGTTAATTATAATTTTTAGATATGAAATTACCCAGGCAACTCAGTACCATGTCAGCTTCAGCTGAGATTATTTGGAAAATATGAGCAGAACTCATGTTTTAAACTTTGTTTGCTGTCAAATCTTAGGAATATATATCCTTGTAAATTACGACATATTTTATTATCATTATTTTTAACATAAAACCTAATAAGCAGAAGGTTTTCAAAGGGCAAGGGGGACCAACAAAATATCTTGGGACTCGGGAATCAGCTACAGATAAATTAAAGTGGTGAACCATAAAAAACTAATAATAAAATAATAGTAAAAAAATAATTAAAGAAAATAAATAAATGACAGGAATGATCACTGCCCACAGGTCAAAAATGATAAAAACTATGGAAAACAAAAACTGCCACAATTCACTGAATAAATTAAGTTTTTCAAATTTATTTTAATTTGCCATTAATAACTTCAAATTGGACAAAAAAAGTAGATTATATACACTTCCAAATCTACAGTCTGGTTTAAACATAGAGGTAACATTTCAGCTACACCGTCTCTTTTTTAGTGTAAAGTTAGAGAATTGACGACCACTCGAAATAAAAAATGTTTTGTCTACCACAACATAAAACCACTGCATAATAATAAAAAAAGTTGGTTCCAAGAATCAAGGCCAAAAACTGAAAATGAATGGGACACATGAGCTGATTATTTGTGAATTTAGGCCGAAAACACACGGCGGAGTCCCTGATAACGCTTCAGGACCGGTTGTACCTACGGGCGAACTCCCTGTAGATGGGAGCCTTTGTGTCTGTGGGTACTGTCTGCCCCCTGCTTTCCTCTCAGACCTGGCCAAAGCCCTGCAGCCATTTCAAAAGGGAGACACGATCAATGTCACTCTGTGAAACAACCCATGCAGGGGAAAAACAATTTGTTTACATGCGCCGACATCTGCGCCGTCTGGTTTTATCCTATTGCAGAGTCTATAGATGTGAGCCTTGCTGACTTTGTTTTTCTGTTTTGTATTTTCAGGAGGCATGAAGATAAACAAACGAACTCTAAGCAGTAAGTAACATTCAGTTATTAATTTCTTTCTTTTTTTTCACAATTCGCAGAATTCAAAATCTCATACAAGAAAGAATACAAGAGGTGAAGAGTAACCAGCATGTGACACCATGAAAGCTTCTGCTTAGCCGTATTAGCACATTGCTCATGCCTTTGTGTCACAAACAAATAAAGGAGGTTGGGAATTGACCTACATAAGAAGTGGTTGTCACACAAAGGTCATCCTGATGTCTTTGTAAAGGTGTTGGAATCTGAGATACTAATCAGCAGTCAGTGGAGTGTCCTCCATCTGAGTTAAGAAACAGCACTTTTAAATGCACATGAACCAAGTGAATAAGAACATCTTTGTCATTTTTTTTTAAAAGTTACTTGTATAAAGGCTTGTATTTAGGATGCATGGTTAGGGTGAAGAGTTAGAAGAGTGAAGCGTTGAAAGGATTATAGTTGTTGGAACCTGAGGTGTCGCCCTCTGCTGACCATTACAAAGTTTTCAGGTCCAAAGGCCTCATGCCATCTGCTTGTTCACAGCAAAAAAAAAAAAAAAAAAAAAAAAAAAAAAAAAAAAAAAAAAAAAAAAAAACAAAAAAAAAATAAAAAAAAA